CAGTATGTAATGTCTGCATTTAGTACCTGCATCGGTAATGCTATCACATAATATGACGTCACTTCTAAGGACCTCACATAAGGGCTTCTATGACAACTAGCTCAAGGATTTTTAGCAAAATATTGAATCCTAGCCATACTTATGTTTGTGTGATGCGATCTTGCATACCTTCGATCAATAGAGCAAATCGATACAGCAGCACTCAAGCACCATCGTTATATGTATCACCTGAAAATAAAAGAAACTTCAGTATGGGTTATTTCAGACAAGAGCGTATCGACGACATTTACGAGTACTATCCAAATGCATTTTAATGTGATGCTACCCATTACCACAGGGTCAAGAGCACGTAAGGTTTGACACTTAAGACTTATTTCCAACTCTATGCCGCTTGCGACAAAAACGGTTCAAAGTATAAAGCTTGATGTGCTCTTGACTGTACCTATCTATAAAGTATTTTTCTCAAACATGCTCGGAAATGTTTGCATTACTTTCAAAAAACGAACACGGAAAGTTTGTCATCTATGGATAATGCAACTTCTTTCCGGCCAAGGCCTGCAAAGTAAGTATGAAAATCAATGAAAATCCATTACTGTCCACTTCTCTAAACTTTTAAATCTACCTATTAATAATGAACTATGTAAACAGGCAAAAGAAAAATTCATACAGCAAATTACTGCCCAGTATTCATAGTTAAGAAAATTATAAATACCTACCTATACAGCTTACTAAAAAAAAAGAAAATGGCGTTAACAATTAAACATCGAGTATATAACCAGAAATAGAGACGAAATAAAGGCCATACATTCCGGGTAACTCATCAGTGATACATCAACTCTCTTTTGCACTGAATTTACAAATTAGTAAGCTGAAATAGTACAGCGCCAAGAACTGACCTGTGTGTACGTCTCCGTTTATTCCAAAAACATTCTGTATTTATTGTAATAAAGATAATATCTCTGACAAAGGCGTGCTGTCCCATACGGTGGTGTGGGGAAAAACAGCAAAATATCTAAATACAAAACAAACGGAATCAAATTTCATCGGTAATTAAATATTAAATATGTAATTTTGCAATTTTCGTCCATTATAGCAAAGCTCAAGTTAACTGGTCTATTTGAAGTAAAACAATTGACGACACCCATTGAAGACACCCGTCAATTGTTTCGAATTCGGGCTGGCCAATCGCAGCGCAGTTGTTCCAATAATGATATGGCAGAATAGTTTTCAAACAAATTGAATGACATTTCGTCTCTATTTCCAGTTATATACTCGATGCATTTAAACTAAAGTGTTTTGATATTCTTTTGTTTTTTCGTCTTTTTTGTATTTTGGTCGCGAAAATGAGTGCTAGTGAGAAGAGCGATATCGAAAATACATTAATAGATATACAAATCGGAACGGGACGGAACGGAACGGGAATTGCTTGCCTCGTATTAATACAAGGCCTCGCTGGCGCTGGTTCTTGTAACTCGTACTCGTCCAGCAATCCCTTACTTCCTGGCCTTTGCAATAATGTACTATTAATGCAACTTGTAATGAGCTCTTAGATTTTCGCGATTGTTACACATAGGAAATGAAACTATTTTTTCCGATCTAAATCACGTTATTCGTTTTTTTAAACAAATTAACTTGTCGGGCCCTTTACAGGTCCCATGGTCACGGTACACGGCTGCAAAGGGCTGAAAAAGTAATTTCATTTCCTATGCACCTCATAAAGGTTTAGTTTTAGCCAGACGTAGGCATACACAGACATCTGCTCTATATCTGCAAATTGAATACATATAATTACTCTATGTCGCATATTAGGATAATAATTGGTTACAGGTTATAGACACACTTTTTATTCTCCTGTAAAAATTGCAATTCGCATATTGCTTACGGACGGTCTTATTACGTTGCAGCTTTACTATAGTCACCAATCTATGCAGTAGAGCTCCTTGTGAAAAAGTTCGTCCAGGAAAGTACTGCCACCTTACCTATTTCTGGCGCCAAGCAGAAATGCGACCATTACTGCGTTTCGGTTTTGAAGAATAACGGTGCTGGTGACATTACAGGAATATGGGACTTATCAACTTATGCCTCAGGGTGATTGGCGCAGTGGCAGTACCCCTCAGATCTTTGTGATTTAAAGCTCTGAGTGGCACTGCAACTGTTATGGACAATGTTGCTTACCACCATAGGGCGCACGACTTGTTCGTCCCGTCATTTGGTATTTTTTAAAAATCTACCGAGTATGTTCATAAGAGAAGTTCAACAAAGAAATAATTGATTTGGGATACTGTGTGCTGGCTCAGAAGGACTTTACCAATGGCCTAGGTATTAAGGCTTTATAAATAGCACTTTACTGGATTTGGGCCTTCTAGCAGCTCTAGCTTTGTATATGTTACTTTGTATTTTTTATATTGCAGCATTAACAGTGAAACTCCAGCATTTATGTAAACTAATTTGTTACCGGTTACATAATCTAAGTGTATAGAGGTCCCATAGATGCGTGGACATGGGTCCAGCTCTTGGAGCACGTGCGTAATGATGGCACTGTTTAGAAACCATATACCCGCTCAGATCAATGTAATCGCTTGTATTAGGGAATATGTTTAGGAATCTATGAAATGTAACCCAAATTCATCCAAGCCAATATACGTCGTGGGTACTCATCGAGTATGTAACCAGAAATAGAGACAAATGTCATTTATTTTGTTTGAAAACTATTCTGCCAAATCATTACTGTGACAAATGCGACGAAATGATTGGCGAGTCCGAATTCGAAACAATTGACGGGTGTCGTCAATTGTTTCACTTGTGATTGAACAGTTTAACTTGAGCTTTGCTATAATGAACGAAAATTACAAAATTACATATTTAATATTTAATTGCCGATGAAATTTGATTCAGTTAGTTTTGTAATTAGATGTTTTGCTGTTTTTCCCACACTACCGAATGGAACAACCCCCATTGTTAGAGATATTATCTTTATTACAATATATACAGAATATTTTTGGAATATACGGAGACGTACACGCCGGTCAGTTGTTGGCACTGTACTATTTCTGTTTTCTAATTTGTGACTTCAGCGCAAACGAGAGTTTAAATTTAAAAGTGATATAAGGCCCATTTGCCTGATGAGTTACCACGGGTGAATGGCCCTTATTTCGTCTCTATTTCTGGTTACATACTCGATGTAGGTACTCAACATTTTCATCTAGGTACCTACTTACTTTTCACAAACGCTCATCACATGCTTTAACGTCGCTAAGAGATAGCTAGACAGAAAATTTATGGTTGAAGCACAAGCTCATTATCTTTACGTTACCCATAAATCGTATTGCATTTTAAATTCGTTCTTAGTGCCTGTGCTTGGCTTATAAGTAATTGCAATGTAGTAACATAGTTTCCTAATGCTTACAGTATATAATCAACTCCTAATCACTTATTAACTTTGTCACAGCCCTGGCAGATGTATTTTTTATGTTAATAGATTACCAACCAGTAGATTTCACCAAATTTCTAGTCATTCATTACACTTATACTGCCATGGAATTTGGTACACAGGGAGGCTTTTGCCACCCAGCTTTCTATTCGTTTATCCTGATATCCAGTCAGAAATTCAACACCAAAACTCAAATTCGAGACATTCTCAAAATCCACACCAGAATATCAGGCATTTATTCATAAATAGGTTTCGAAATTCACTCCGAATATCAGATTGTCTTTTAAGTAGTGGTTAGGTTTCTGTTCCCATGGTATGAACCCTTGTCATAGGTATTGCCATGATATTCAGATATTTCATAAGTTTGTGATCAGTACCAGGACCTCGGCTCTGACTACCTATTTACAGCATTTGGAGCGAAGCCGTGGGGTCGCGGTGCCCTTCATCTGTAGAAAATTTATTCAAAAAAATTATAGACTGTTTGTGAAACCCAAGGGCCGGCTACTTTGCCCAATTAATTAGCATAGCCATAGAAAATAGGAATGCTGCCAGCATCTTGGACACCTAGCCGCGAGGACCCAATTTTATTCATATACTTTAATCCTAGTTTTAGTTTCTAGCATTTAAGCTTTTATTTTACCTTATCCGTATATTTTAACTTATTATCTAATTAAAAAAATTCTATGTGATATTTCCTAAGTTTTAATCTACTTCACCAAATCTAAGTAATGAACGACAATAGACGTGACGCATCCCAGACGCTTTTGTGCATTCTTTTGAACTTGGCTGATCACACAACTGGTTTGTAAATTAATTAATTAATTGTTATTGATATCGCACAGACCAACCGAATGTTACCAATTAGTGAATAAACTTATACTTTATTTTGCACGATTTTCTAAAGCTGAAAAACGTTTTTTACATAAAACATTTCAATAAATACAAATGTGTTTTAAAGTCAGGTTCAAGTAATTTAAAAATTGAATTAATTTTAAAAAAGCGACTTTATGAATGTTGCGATACATTTAACGGCCAAGGAAAAAAATAACACACAGACTCACAGCCCCGCACTAGGAAAACCCTGTGTCGCGGGTGCCACGGGTACACCCAAAGTCACGAGAGAAATAAATGTAGGCTATACAAATATTTCTCCCGACCCGGGAGTCGAACTCGGGAACTCTGCGCGGCAGTCCAGCATGGTAACTTTTCGGCCACGGAGAAAATTTACAACCCTTCGAATACGTGTGAAGTCCCCAACAGACGTTGCTGGGTCTAATGGATTGATTATTCCCTTAACCCTCGCTTTAGAGGAGACTCGTGCTCTGCAATGGTATATGTGACTAGTTGATGATATTGTTGTTGAATATGGTCTTATTTCCTATGTCATTAGTTCACAACGTTGATAATATGATCATACTATGTATGTACTTTTAATAACAATATCATTTGAATACCAATAAGAATTTCTAAGAAAAGTTACATTTTTATGACTGCTCACAGGTATATAGAGTGTTGGCAGCACGCGCGTCGTTTAATTGTAGATCGATAGCAGCGCAGGAAGCACGGACCTGCTCACGCGCATGTTGAAATAAACACGCGCAAATTGTGTACTTTTGTGTGTGAAGTGACTTTAATTTTTTTTTAATTTAATTTATAGTGATATTTGAACTGAAACAATGTTAAAAGGCTGGCAGTTAATTTTATCTAAACGTAAGTTTTACTTTTATTTTAATAATTCTTCATTTCTGAGTTTTGCAGGTACTATTTTACAAAAAATAAGATTTAAAACAAAACTCAAATAAATTACATGGCTATACTTTTGTTTATAAAAAAGCGGTGAAACAATTCGCACGTGAGTACAAATGCTGTCGTAACTTAAAAATTATGGAATTGAGAAAACACTTTATTTGAAAATTAAATAAATACGGAATGTAACTTATTGCGAATAATGCGATTATTTTAATTTTAATCATATAATAATTACTTATCCACTTTTTTAAAGCCTATATTGTCCCACTGCTGGGCAAAAGCCACTTATAAATGTCAATATAAATTTATTGGTTCTATTCAGTAATTTTTTGAACTGTTATTGTACTGACAGAGGTACTTTTAATAGTTTCATATCTGTATAAAGAACATAATTAGTTTATTATGAAATTAAAACGTTGCACAGTGCCCTTGACGATATTGAACACTGGAGAGACAAATAAATCGCACCCTTATCGACATGAAAGTCATAACAATAACTACATGAACCAAATTATTTATATGTAAATATTTGCAATCCTATTTAAGCATAAAAAAGTTTTCGACTAATTTTGTTCGTAGAATCTATAAACTTCTCTCCTGAAAAGTTTTTATTTTGCAGATGTGAACTTATTACACCAAAGGTGCGAAGTACATACTTGACTTGAGTAATTTTCTGATTAATTTTCTGTACCTAATTTTGGTGGCAATTTTTATTATTTTAATATTGTATTGTATAGAAAAGAAAACGCAAACTTACCTCAAAATTTAACAAGAAAATAGCTGTATTTAATGGGTACTTTACATACACCAATGATTTTTTCAAAAATTCTGAAATAAAGCCACGTCGCTGCCGCTCGACCCAAGCAAAATAAAACGTATCAGTACTAGAAAAATTAAAATTCGAGCTGAGGCAATATCCACTCGTAAGTTCAGACAACCTCGATGGCCTAACTCTGTTCTGGAAGTTCGGTACTCATAGTACAGGAAATATATGCACGCAGTGCGGTTTCCTAACATAACAAAAAAGAAAAATAACAATACCTATGTCATGAACAATGAACCAATTTAAAACCTCAAAACTTATTGTGTGGTTCAAATTTTGAAATCCTCTTAACTCGTAATGGATATGTAAAATATGTGAAGCATTTTAGCACCAACTAAATACGTAAAAACACTAAAATAATATTTGCAGTTAGGAAGAAATTAAATATGAGAAAGGAAGCTGCTCACGGTCGAGCACATAAATCTGATAAAATTATGTAGTATTATAAACGCGAATAGATTTAGAATAGAAAAAAATATTCATTGTATAGGTGTAGTAAGTTTAAAGTACTTATAATGCATAATTTGCTGTCCCATATAGTTGTTTCATAGAACGCCATGTAAACGTTTAAGTAGTATTCAATTCAACCATCGAGTATATATGAGAAATAGAGACGAAATGTCGTTTAAATTGTTCGAAAACTATTCTGCCAAATCATTTCGGTGACAACTGCGCTCCGATTGGCCAGCTCGAATTCGAAACAATTGACGGATGTCGTTAATTGTCTCACCTCATATCGACCAGTTCAACTTGAGCCGTGCTATAAAGGGCGAAAAATAGAAAAATTACATATTTAATTACTGATGAAATGCAATTTCGCTTGTTTTGTAATTACATGTTTTGCTGTTTTTCCCACACCACAGAATGGAACAGCCCCCCATAGTTACAGATATATATTTATTACATTAAATACAGAATATTTTTGGAATATTCAGACGCGTACACAGGTCAGTTGTTGGCGCCGTACTACTTCAGTTTTCTAATTTGTGATTTCCGTGTAAACGAGAGTTGATATTTAAAAAAGATATAAGGCTCATTTGCCTGATTAGTTGCCAGGGATTCATAGCTCTTATTTCATCTCTATTTCTGGCTATATACTTGATGAGTTCAACACTCTCTTTCGTGTAGATCCGTGCTCAGTAGCAAAATATATCTATGGGTTGATATAACAGTACTGACTCAATACATAAGTCTCACAAAATCTAAATTCAAAAATGTTAATAAAAATATTCAAATTCAATATGCACGCAAGAACGCTTAATTAAGGAAATGAAACCGTATGAAACATCTTTTTAGTATATAATTTCATTAATTTTAAATACAGGAATAGTGAGATGTAATTTGCAGTATTTAACGAAGAGGTTAAAATAAATGAAGGTCGATATCCGAGAGAAGCTGTTTTTGTCGTTATACTTAGCACTAAAGTATGACTAATGTCCTTAAATATTAGATAGTCTGAGGTCTAAGCGATACGGAAATAATGTTATTTTTGGTTACGAGGTATGAAACGGAGAACTAAGTACACACCGCTTTACTTAACAAGTTTTTTAGTGAAATCGAAGTACCATATACCTACGCATACATGTGGCAAAATTTTTATCTATAACAACATATGTGTATTGAATTTCGATTGTCATAAGGTTCTATTCACAAGCAAAAGCGGCAAATCATCCACCTCCTGACTATCGTAATGCCGCATTTACACCAGGTCGACAGACGACCGTCACTTGCTTGCCGAAGTCAAAGTCAAAGTCAAAGTCAAAGATTATTTATTCCATAGGTAAAATAAATGTACACTTGAAAACGTCACATTTAACTGCTCGTTCACTACGCTGACCTCCCTGAGAAGAACGAGCAAGAAACTCTAGGGATTGCTCTTTTCAAATAAACTTAAATGCTATGGAATACACTTTGAATCAAATTGTATGGATTCTGGAGCCATGTCGTCTTTCCATACATCTTTATCTAACACGTAGTCTTAAATTTTGTAATATGATTTTTCGATCAAAATATTTTTAATGTAGTTTTTAAACTTAGGAAATGATAATCTTAATATATGCTCTGGAATCTTATTGTAAAAACGTATACAGTTCCCCATAAAAGAGTTGTTTACCTTGGTTAAACGAATTCGTGGTACCATGAGTTTGGACTTAGCTCTAAGGTTAATATTATGGATATCTTCTTTCTTATTGAAATTATTTGTGTTTTTACTACTTACTTTTTAAATATTTGAGTAAATGTACTGTGATGCCACAGTCATGATACCAGTCTCGTTAAACTTTTCTCTGAGAGAAACCCGAGAGCCTAGACGGTACACAACGAAGCGCTCGTTTTTGCAATACAAATATGGTTTGAATATCTGCCGCTTTACCCCACATGAGAACCCCGTAGGACATTATACTAAGGAAGTGACTAAAGTAAACTAGTCTAGCAGTACTAACATCGGTAAGCTCACATATTCTGCGGACTGCGTATGCAACGGAGCTTAATCTGCTGGCCAGGGACGATATATGTGGAAACCATTGAAGTTTACTATCTAAGGTCACTCCTAAGAAGACTGCTTTATTAACAAGGTTTAACTTTTCTCCGTTTATTTCTATGCTTGGACTAGTCCATTTTACGTTAGGTAATTCAAATTTAACACATTTTGTCTTCTTGGCATTAAGCAATAAATTGTTAGAATTAAACCAATAAATTATCTTAGAGAGGGTATCATTAATATGGTCATAGTTTCGTCTGTCATAGTCATGTCTGTCTGTTTTAAAAATCAAGGACGTGTCATCAGCAAACAACACTATTTCGCAATGGTCCTTAACAAAGAATGGCAGATCATTAATATAAATCAGAAATAAGAAAGGTCCAAGTATTGAGCCCTGCGGAACACCCATTTTTACTGGAGGACCTAAAGAAGTCACTCCATTTATGTCTACTTTCTGAATTCTTCCGTTGAGATATGACGAGACAAGTTTCGACGCCTTGCCATTTACACCGTAATGTTCCAGCTTCCTAAGGCGGATAACTACCTGGTGTAAATTCTGAGTCGCCTGATCACCATATTTCGCAGCCGAATTGTAAACGCTATATGCGACCGAACAGGCTTCATCGTGTCCGCGGATGCACATCATATTTTATTGCAACATCGCACATCACTTGTTTGTATAGAAACACAAGTGTGCGATGTATTCCCAAATTCATCGATCCCATTTGGAGAACACGACAATTCATAGTGACAATTTCAAATGTACTGACGCAATTTCAGCGAAGGCGTTCGTTTTTGGACAAGGCGAAGTAGTCAGCTGAAGGCGGCAGCTGACCCGGTATAAATGCACCATTACTAGCATTAAGCAGTTACTAGTATTTTAAGGCAAAGTAGGTATTCGTAGTTAAACATTTCACACCTTGTGCTGTAGTTCGTGTCTAAGACGTTCTCTTAAAAAGTTAATATTCGTATATAAAACCGGTAGATATAATTATGACGACTAGTGGACCTCTCCTTTGCAAGCTAAATAACATCATACGTCTTACTTGGTTAAGATGATTGAAACCTATCCGCCCGACCGGGGTTTAATAAAGATTTGACCCAAAACGACCCGTTTTTAAATGACAATGATAACATTCTTCTAATCTGTATAGACCTATGTACACATAGATAGTTACTATTTTGAAAACACCTTAATATTACAGTAATCAATTTTTACGCTCGTAGGTACTTTTATACATGATGCATACATAGAACTTACCTCAACAATTTGCATACCTACTAGAAGTTTTTAAGCATTTATTTTTTTATTTGAGAATATTAGAATGACTAATAAAATAGATATATAATATATGTTATTATACAATAAAATATGACCATTGCATATGGGAAGTTCAACAACAAACATTAAGACGAGAATTTTCCTGCCTGTTTATACATATACCTGTAATGTAGTAACAGTAACTACAACAATTGTAAATGGCATCACCGTGAACATACACGAATAAATCGTATTATTAGTTATAAATCCACATCTACAGGGCGTGAGAAAAAAAAGCGACCAGATTTCAGCTGTTGACACGATCTCTTCAGATGTATCGCTCGCGATACATGTCGCGTAATATTTAATCCTTCTTTTTACTAACCATCGTATCTGAC